TCTAATTTGTGGATGAAACACCTCCAGGGAACCATGCTGAGCCTTCCCATGAGGGAAAACCCCTCCCAGAACCCCTGCCAATTTGGCTACTTGGCTGCCCTCTACTGTACAGAACAGAAAGCAGAGAGAATAAGAGATGCTTGTAGACTTTAATGAGCTCCCATCAGACCTTGCTTTCCGTACAGAGGCAAAAACACCTCAAACAGCTTCACTTGTAATTATGCATCCTCCTCTTAACATCATCAAAGGCTTAATCACCTGGAAAGGCGTTTGTGTGTCAGGAAAGAGCAGGTTGTTTGACTAATTAAGATGAGCAATGCAGTCGTGCCTGCTAGCCTCTCCTTTTTTTCTGTTGTTGGAAGAAGAGTTGAGCATTTACCCTCCATCAGATAGATGAAAACTAAGATGCATGAGTGTGAGAAATGCATTCCTGTTGTGATTATGTAAAGAAGCTGGGGGGGAGTTTGAAGGCTGTGGGGCTGTAATGGACGCTATGTGCAATGACACAACTGAGCCATCCCCATCCCTCTCCATTATGTGCAGTTTCAGCCTTCTGTTAGTGCCTGCAGAGGACAAACACCACAGCTCGGGTTTCAGGCTTCATCACTTCTTGCCTATTACACTCCCAACCTTTATCTATGATGCCTTTTCCACTGCTGTATGACTGAACTCCTTTCTCTATGAAACGGCTGAACGTTTCTATTATAATCGTATTAAATATACTTTTATTCTTATTGTAAACTGTTGTTTTATGCAGTAGACAGTATTGTCATTGAACAACCTGCCAGTATTACAAAATATAATCATTATTGTCTTTTGGGGGGGGTAACACTTTATTTTAGTGTCCTTGTTACTCATAACACGTACTCCCTACAGTAATAATGGAGATTATGCATAATGTGCAACTTACCCTATAGTATGTTGTTAAAGGGATAGTTCACCAAAAAAAAGGAAATTCTGTGATTAATTACTCACCCTCATGCCGTTCCAAACCCATAAAACCCATTGTTCATCTTCAGAACACAAATTAAGATATTTTTGATGAAATCCAAGAGCTTTCTGACCCTGCATAGACAGCAATGCAACTGACACGTACAAGGCCCAGAAATGCAGTAATGGGCAGAGCTGTGGTATAACCCTCAGAAATAAAAACCAAGCAAGCAACCGACAAAATGTAGTTATTGCTGGTGAAGAAATGTGTTAGGGGAGCATTCTAGTTTTGATGCTTTGTGTCAATCACAGTGTAGACAGCTATGTTGATTTGGGATAGTGTTCTAGTTAGATGGGATGTCAGACTGAGTAGATGAGATGTCAGGCTGAGTGTGGTTAGGGTCCTCTGCAGTGGAGGACATTTTAAAGCAGTACAGCTGATGCATGGAAGCTTGTTAAGAGTTGATCGATATTTTAAGTGGCTTATTTTATGCACTGGTAGGCGTGCACTGTTGAAGACTGATGAGTCTATTAGCAAGCTGAGTTTTGTGTAATTACTGTGTGGAAAATGAGCATATGATACAGCATGATGACTGGGGAGAGATTTCATTATTTTTTAGCTTGGCTTTTGTTTTCAGGATCACTGTGCATTTCCATTATTAGTGCACAGAGCCTAAAATTCCACACTGTTATTTAGTTTGTTTCAGAAGAGATTATACTATTTTAGTCAAATTTAAGTGGCTTTGTGTAATGAAAGTCTTATTGTTTATCATTGTGTAAAATTGCAGATCTACTACAATGCACAATCACAGGAATGCCCACCGTTTATTTCCTTTTTGTTGTTGTCTTTTCATTAAAACTACTGTGGTATAACTGACACAGTACAGTGATGCATCAGATGGTAATATTGTGGTATTCATTTCTTAAAATTGGAAATTTTATTGTAAAGAAATAAGTTACCGGTATTGGCTTTATTGTTGTGTAGATTTGATCTGTACCGTGTGGTGTTTTCATCCTGAACTCTCTTGGCTCCACATGAACCGCAAGGGAAATCTTGGTTTGTTGAGTGTTGGTCCCTCATGTCTTTTAAAAGCACCTTGAAGGCACTGAAAAATTGTGAGCAGTGCTTGCTTTAGACATTAAAGGGTGACCAGGGTTATCTGCTAACAGTTTGGTCAGAAAAGGAACAGTTTGATAGGTCTAAATGACTGTACATATTGAATCTCATTGGTGACCCACTGTTCTTCATTCAAAACACACATTGAGCTTCAGTGCTTACCTTCAATGGCAGATTTTGAAGATTGGAAGCAGCTGCTAAAACTAAATATTTAATTTTATATGAATATTAATACATTTTTGTGAAAAACACTCAGTTGTGAATGTGTAAAAGAAGATAGATCAATTATTATTATTAGGGATGTACTGATGTGGAAATTTTGGCCAATACAGTTAAATGATAATTATTTAAATTTAATTTCTTTTGTATGTTTTTTTATTTATTTATTTTAATTTTTTTATATTTGTGAAGCTGATTTTGAAATGGATACTATATTCTTTATGCAGGTTTTGTAAACTTTTCATCTTGCATTGATTTGAACCGTGTAAGAGTCTCTGTGATTATCTTGTATAGTCTGGTATTGTCTCCACTGTCAATTTCTGCAGCTCCCAGAATGTTAATAAAACCTATCATTTATATTAGTATTACTATATTTATACTACGTTTTGTTTTTATTATATTTTTCTCTACTGGTGTTTGTTACTTTAGACTTTCTTTGCACAATTTTCTTTGTAAGCAGCTGAGCTGCAAATTCTTTAGCAATATAAATGTACACTTATTTGTCATGCCAGTAAAATACATTGAAACTGAAAACTGGGGGATTTTATGGTGCAGAATTCTCTTGACATCTCACTACTGGCAGTGAAGTTATTGTGTTGTGTGTGTGTGTGTACAGAAAGTAGAAGACTCTGCTGCTGTAACTGCTTGCTTTGTTTTCTCCTCTCACTCCATTATTCAGGCTTTTTCATCCTACTTCTGTTTTCTGTCGCCTAAATCAACAGGTGGCTGAAGGGCCTGTTGGGAACCTTTACAGATCTTTAGATGCCCTAGATTTATTGGCTGAAGCGCCTCTCTCTTTCTCTCTGAAAATACTCAAACTTTGTTCTACAACTACGTTTCCCACCAGCTACTTGCATTAAATTTGAAGATGGGTGTATGGATTTGCATAATCTTCTTGTTATGTTCTTCATGTACTTTAGAATTGCAGAAAGTTCTCCCTACAATTAAACTTTGATCATGATTATAGGAGTATTTTAAACTAGAAAATACATTCTGCAGTTATAATGCCATGTTTGTTACAATCTAAGGTCAGATGAACTCAATTTATTTCTAAATGTCAGGCGTAACATGGCATAATGAGTGTTTTTTTTTTTTTAATAAATGTATACAAGGATGAACCAAACAATGTTGGGGTTTTGTCTGCCATGACATATTCAATCAAGATCTATGTGCATGTACAGTAGATCACTTGAGTTAAACAGTTTTAAAGGGATAATCCACCCAAAAATGAAAATTGTCATAATTTTCAGATCGCCAATCTTCTGTGGAACATAAAAGAAGATATTTTGAAGAATGTTGGTAACCATACAGTGCAAGTCAAAACAGTGAAACTGTTTGGTTACCAACATAGTGCCACAAGGTTTGGAACGACATGAGAGTGAGTAAGTGACAGAATTTTCAGTTTTGGGTGAATTCTACAGTAGTATTTATATAATTTTAGGGTTTATGCAAATAAAAGATAAAATGCATGTTTTGTAGATGTAAACATGATCATGTCCTCTCTCCTGCAGAGCGCACCATGGCCAGACACGAGGTGCGAGAGGTTGAGCAGAGACAGACACGGGACGGCCTGCGGGACTCTCCGGCATTGCCTGAGATTGAGGATCTGATTATCATCTATAACCGTGTGCCCAAGACTGCCAGCACCTCCTTCACCAACATTGCATATGACCTGTGCGGAAAGAACCGCTTCCATGTTCTCCACATCAACACCACCAAGAATAATCCAGTCATGTCTCTGCAGGACCAGGTAACATGTCCATTACATTACATTCAATTTACAATACAAGTTGAGATTATTTAACATTTTAGGCCAATTATGTGCACAGAGTTCTTAAAGGGATAGTTCACCCAAAAATGAAAATTCTGTCATTAGTTACTCACCCTCATGTCGTTCCAAAACATGTAAGTTCTTCGTTCATCTTCAGAACACAAAAATGAAGATATTTTTAATGAAATCTGAGAGCTTTCCGACCCTCTATATACAGCAAGGGTCCTACCACGTTCAATACAGAGAAAGGTAGTAAAGACATCGTTAGTCCATGTGACATCAGTGGTTTAACCGTAATTTTTTGAAGCTACGAGAATACTTTTTGTGCACAAAGAAAATTGTTACAACTTTATTAAAAAATAACGACTTTATTCAACAGTTCTTCTCTCCCGAGTTACCATCTACCAGTTACCAAATTATATTAAACCTTAAAGTTCTGCATAATTAAGGGCGTGGCCACTTGAGTGACAGGTGGATTGCCGCTGCTGTCGCCACCGTCGAGCTAAGTGGGCGTGGTTTCAACAACCAGCTCCACAAACATCCCGCCACTTTGCCCATTTTCGATTATCCGGGAGTGACGCGCTGGCTCCACCCATTTTAAGCTTCAAAAACGCTCTTCAGAAACCTACGGGTGACGCCACGGACACTACGTCCATGTTTTTTACAGTCTATGGTCGTGGTACTCTTGTTAATGGCGCCTACGGTGATACGAAGGAGAAGAATTGTTACATAAAGTCATTATTTTTGTATTCTTTGCACACAAAACGTATTCTCGTAGCTTTATAACATTACAGTTGAACCACTGTCACATGGACCATTTTAACAATGTCCTTACTACCTTTCTGGGCCTTGACCATGGTAGGACTTTTGCTGTTTATGGAGGGTCAGAAAGCTTAATTTGTGTTCCGAAGATGAATGAAGGTCTTACAGGTTTGGAACGACATGAGGGTGAGTAATTAATGACAGAATTTTCATTTTTGGGTGAACTATCCCTTTAAGCTTTGCAAGTCCACTCATATATGTGTCATCAAAAGAGGTTAAGGTCGTTTTCACACTAGTTCATTTGAGGGTCAATATACTGTAACTGTATGTGAACACCTCAGATGAACTCAGACCACCCTAAAACGAGCCAATGTCCTTTTGTGGTTCAGCTGAGTCCCTTTTTAAATCCAAAACAAGTTTTTGTTCATTTAAAGTGTATTATATGTGAAACCACTTTAAATGTCATTGAAATTTTGCAGTTTATTTGCCACAATTGAAATGGATGCTTAGGGGGATTGCAATCAAAAGTACAGTAAAACTGTAATATTTTGAAATATTATTACAATTTAAAATAACTGTTGTCTATTTTAATATATTTAAAAGTAATTGAATCCTATGATTTCAAAGCTAAATTTTCAGCAGCCATTACTCTAGTCTTCAGCGTCACATGCTCCTTCAGAAATCATTCTAATATGCTGATACAGTGGGGAAAAAAAGTATTTAGTCAGCCACCAATTGTGCAAGTTCTCCCACTTAAAAAGATGAGAGAGGCCTGTAATTTTCATCATAGGTATACCTCAACTATGAGGAAAAAAAATCCAGACAAAATGAGAAAAAAAATCCAGAAAATCACATTGTAGGATTTTTAAAGAATTTATTAATAAACTTTTATTATTGAAGCTGAAAATGGTTGTGCTGCCTATTATCTGTGGAAACAGTGATGCATTTTCATCAACATTTTATGATGAATGCAAGAAAATAATTTGAAATAAATAAATATATATGAAAAAAAAAACTTAACCTAAATGTAGGTTTTGTAGGTTTAAATTCCATCAGTTATTTAATGACAATGAAGAAAAATGTAATATAGTAATATATTTTAAGTATACTAATAGGTGATCAGAGTTTTAAAACATGCTTTTAAAAAATGCTTACACAAAATAATAATTAAGTAGCCAGATATTGTATATGAATATGCCAGCTATTGGGCACATTTTACAGATACGCTCAACTTATGCAGTTTGGACCAAGTGCAGAGGTGTAGTGTGCTTATACTGATGACATTGTGATTGGTCTTTTGCTCAAATCTCACTCTGACAGTCCAGGGGATGTTAGCGCAGTGGCCCTGTGTTTCTGTCGCACGCTGCCTCTAAACAAGCAGCCTCGTCTCTGGCTCCACCTCCATAATTCATAACCTACTGTCAATATCCACACTGCTGCTGTGCCTTTGTGTGACAAGCAGCACTGAACAAGCTGAACCGATAGATAAAAAGAAGAACGGGGGGGGGGAATGAAGTGTAGATCTTGTTGACAGCAGCAAAGAAAGACAATTCTCTATTCATCATATCTATTGTTATATGTCAGCTCACAGAAATCAATCTTTGACGAGTTTTATTTGCTGAGTTGAAGGGGAAAAAGAAGCATTCCCGCGTCATTTTGACCTCACACGTGTCAGCATTATTCAACACAGTGTGTGGCTTTGTCGGTCTGCGATCATGAGCGTATGTTTACATTTGTATTCACGTCATTGTCATCCGCAAAATAATATGATTCGGAGCAGGGGGAGGGAAGGTGTTATTTGTGGGTGATTTTTGCCAAGGTAATATCCAGTCTAGCTTTCACCAAAGCCTTTCGACGGTGCAGATGGTACAACCTTTCCCTCCCAGCGGAGTACAGCTGTGGGACTATGGGGAGGATGTTTGGAGAAAACATTGCTGAAATGTGTTTGCATTAAGTAGTCACTTGGCTGGTTTGTTTAGCAGCCCGTGACAGATGCAGTGCGTCAGTGCGAGATTGTTATTTGAGATTTGGATATCGCTGATGCTTGAATGATGGGGGCATATGACACATGCAGTAAAATACATTTAGAGATTTATAAACTGTGTACAGGGACAAATCGAATGTGTTATCTTGTGCTTACAGATGAGGTTTGTAAGGAATGTGACATCCTGGCGAGAAATGAAACCAGGTTTCTACCACGGCCATGTCGCCTATCTGGACTTCACAAAGTGAGTTTTGCTGTATTAATATAAAACCATCATAACAATCACTGGAAGCAATTGCACTACACTTCACTGTAGTTAAATGGTTATGTGTCCTTATCTAGTAGTACATTTAGTGTGGTCTGTTCCTGAAAAATGGGACATCCATCAGCCAGCTACTTAATTCTCTGATGTGAAAAGATACATTTAAGTGCTGCACTCTAGTGGTTGAAAGTGGAACATGTTTTTTATTTTTATAAATTTTTTCTCTGTGGATTTGAAGTATGCTTTTTTGTTTTGTTTTGGTTTGTCGGGTTTGTACGCTGCTGTTATTAAAGCAAAAAGAACACATAACATTGAAATTCTGAAATTTGTATACAATTTTAAACACTTCACAGATTGTTGTGGTGATGATATAGTTGTAACAAAGAAAATGTGTATTACAAAATTGTATATGTAGAAAAAAATGCAAAAAAATAAAAATTTTTACAGGTGTCTTCTGGAGTCGACTGCATATAATAATGTAAGTAGTGCTGTCAAATGATTAATCGCGATTAATCGCATCCAAAATAAAAGTTTTTGTTTACATAATATATGTATGTGTACTGTGTTTGTTTATTATGTATATATAAATACACACACATACAGTATATATTTTGAAAATATTTACATGTGTATATATATATATTTATATTATTATATTTTATATTATATATATACATATATTTATTATTTAATATATAAACATAACATATTTTTCTTAAATATATACATGCATGTGTTTGTATTTATATATACATAATAAACAAACACAGTACACTCACATATTATGTAAACAAAAACTTTTTTTTTGGATGCGATTAATCGTTTGACAGCACCAAAATATAACATGATATAACAATATAATATATAATTTTTCTAAATAGGTTTGGAGTCAAGGGAAAGCCGGTATACATCAACATTGTACGGGACCCCATCGAGAGGTTGGTGTCTTACTACTATTTTCTCAGATTTGGAGATGATTATCGGCCAGGTCTCAGACGGAGAAAGCAGGGTGACAAAAAGGTATTATCTTTTAAAACAATTCATTCAAAGTAACTATTAATTTTCTCACCGTGTGGATGCTAAGATGCAATATGTGCGACTGTGTTTCAGACCTTTGATGAGTGCATGTCATCAGGAGGTTCTGATTGTGCTCCTGAGAAGCTTTGGTTACAGATCCCGTTCTTCTGTGGCCATTACTCGGAGTGCTGGTGGGTAACATGAGCAGCCTGTTACTCTGTTTTTCACTAAATGCTCTTTCACATTAGACAAATTGATTGAGTCACTCTTTACTGATTTGTTCTCTAAACTATGTAGGAGCTGTAAATGATCTTGTGTGTCTGTTTGTGCAGGAATGTTGGCAGTAGGTGGGCTCTCGAACAGGCCAAGTATAATTTGGTGAATGAGTATCTGCTCGTGGGAGTGACTGAGGAGCTGGAGGATTTCATCATGATGCTTGAGGCAGCGCTGCCACGCTTCTTTAGAGGAGCGACTGAGCTCTACCGCACAGGTACTTTGTCGATATTTAAGAATAAAAGGAATAGTTCAACAAAAAAAATGACAATTCTGTTCTCTACTTGCCTTCATCATTCCAAACCCAAGCTTCTTTTTTTTTTCTTTTTTCCATGTAACACAAAAGCTTTGCTTTAAAAACAGCCTCAAGGTCAAACTCATGGCACATTTATGACAGCCGATGGAAGAAGTACCTTAACAATATGTGTTATTCTTGTGTAGATTCTTAGTCAGTTCTTTTCAATTCATTGGTCGAAATGAAATCATTTGGAAAATTAATTTTTGAAAATTTTGTTCATGACTGATATAATTCAGTTGCAGCTACTGGATTTGGTCTGTTTGTCACACAAAGGTATTTTATAGGTTCAGAAGAAGTCATATGGGCTTCTTTTGTGATATACTTTACTTATGGTTCTTTTGCATCCTTTATGAAGCTTGAAAGCTTCAGTCCCTATTCATTGTAACTGCATGAAAAAGAATGACTAGAACATTATTAAAAAAACACCATTCTCCTTTTGTGTTCAGTGGTAGAAAGATATTCATAAGAGCCCAATACTGTGAGTGTTGCTTCCTCCATGTTAGAATTGATTGTATTTAAGCAGTGGAAAACTCAGAATTTGAAGTTATTTATTTCTTTGATGTCAAAGCTGAATTTTCAGCAGCCGTTATTTTTTCCGCTGGCTGTTGTTAGTATATCGTGGGCCATTTTTAGTCTTCAATGTCACATGATCTTTCAGAAATCATTGAAACATTATTAATTTGTAACATGATACATTTCTAGTATTCATAATAAACTTCTATTTTACTAGCAATGAAAATCTTGTTTTAGTTTTTTAAACATCAAATTGTAATTATGATTTTTGAACTCATATTTACCTAATTAAATTAAAATTCAGTTTATTAGCTTTTGAAAAATCCCCTAATGTGTTTCAGTCTTAATCAGGTATTCAGCATTGAATAACCAGTGAAACCTGCTGAGTGACCTGCATTTAATTTTGTCTTTGACTTGAACTGCAGGCAAGAAGTCTCACCTGAGG